TGCTCTGAGCTTTGTTCTTCTCCCTCAGTCTAAAGTACAGGCAGGCTCCCATATTTGGCTTCATGGGGTTGTTTCTAAGATCATCATAGATGACCAAGACGACTCTCCTGCCTGGTCCACTGTGCAGCAGTAGATGCTTGCAGAGAGTCAGAGCAAAACATATATAAACGGCAGCTCTTCTCCTAGCAAAGCTTCTCTCTTCCTCTGCACGGGTGTAAGGGATTAAATGAGTTGAAAGTCTATAGTATCCAGTTTATTAGTACCACTATTATGGACAAAATCAAAGTCCAGTGCTTGTAGCACTGCCTCTGCAGCAACCTAGAGAGGGGATGTAATGGAAAGATAGTCTTGAGCACTCCTGGCAAGGTAAATGACAAGGCTCCTATGCTTAAACATCCCTAGTGAGAACAAAACAAAATCTGCTTTTGATGCTTTGTTTCATGCTTCCTATTGCTAACAGAGCAGGATAGGGTTTGTGTCAGATCCCACTTAAATGAAATGTTCTTATTTGGCTTCTTTGCTAAGCCAGTCAATGGTCTCATCCAGTCACTTCGAGGCACTGCTAATGCAAACTGACTCTCCAAGCAGCTGCAGTCAGGGACTGCCTGTGGATTTGTCAATCTGCCCCCGGTGCTGGAGTGGAGAGCCAAACGGAGGTGTCAATTTCAGCGCCACTTTGTCCTCTCAAAGTGATAGCGACCAAGCTGAAGTCAGCAAGCCGGAGCAGAGAAAATGCATCTGCAGGTAATTAGTAACAATCAGGGTCTGCTCTGAAACTGCTGACTACAGCAGTAATGAGCTGGGCACATGTCATTGGCTTGCAAATGGAGAACGCGCTTATGAACCGTGGCAGCGAGCAGTAAGAGAAGGGATTTTTTTTTAACTTAATATTTAATGTGGCATAAAAACGATGGAGAGAAATCGAGTGGTTCTCTAATCAGATGTTTAGCTGGCAGTCCATAACACAAGGGGGCTGGCGGATGAAGTGGAACTGGGAACTGTCATCAGAATTTCCCTGTGCCATAACGAAGACCTATTTTCAAAGGCGTGTGCTAGTGTAAGTGCCAATGTTGAAGCAGTTCTTTTTGTTCAAATGACATCATGACTGATTTAATCTACCCGTCTGCTAGGAAATGTGTACTGTACATTTCACATCCACAATTACCCTGAGGATCTCATTTCTCAGTGTTGTCCAAAACATGGCCTTGAAATAAAAACAATGAAAAATTGTGATCATAATTCACTTATCCTCTCACTTCTCAGCCTGTTTTGCATTAAACTGTTTTATGAGATGGCTTAAAGACTCAAAACTCACCATATGAACTAGACTTAGGTCAGTTTGCAAATGGAAGGCCAGCACTGTCTCCAGACTTTCTCATAAAAACTGCTGAAGCTTGAACTGCAGATTTTAGCCTATCAAAAGAACCAGATTAGTTTTCTTGGCCACAATAAAACCCATTTCTCAAAGTCTTGTGACTATATATTTCAAGATCTTCATCCTGGAATACGAGGCTTTTAAGCCCTCTGCACATTAATAGCCTACTGTAGGCTGAAACATGAAGCATTAAAGTATTCACTGATTTGCTTTACATGAAAGATTCCCTGTATAAATGATTTCAACCAAAGACTTCGTCTGGGGTTTACAGTTCACTTGTCAATTTTTGTAAATATAAAACAGTCCCTGGGTCTCTCAGCAATGAAGATGTTATATCAAACATGTGTATCATTTAGTGACTTATGTTGGAACACCAAGTGAAGAGCGACAGCTATCTTCAAAAGTTCATAGGTTTACTCCACCTGAGCACCAAAGGTTTTGAACACTTTGCTGAACTTCATCCAAGTTATCCCAAACTCTTGGGCCTGCAAAACTGAGCTGGAAGTACAAGAACAAGCCCTCTTACAATATTTCACTTGCAGTAGGTCTTTGATTATTCTTAGGTTGGAAATAACACAAGACAAGGTGGATGGTGGATGGTTTATGGTGGCAATCCTGTATCCCTGGGACTGTACTCATTCAAATGCCAATGAAGACAGGCTTTGCTGATGCTGATTTCAAGAACATTAAAAAAGAAATTGGTTCTATTAGAGTAAATCTGTACTATGGATAGCAGGACAGGTCAGACACTAAACTCAAAGGCAAAGTCCTGCTAAATAATTATATGCCTAAAAACCCTATGTTGTTCTTATTCACTCTCTCCCTCTGCACTTTCCCTTCCCCATCTCTTTGCATCTCAGATTAATGAAAGAATTTTTGTAGAACCAGTTCAGTAATATGAGACCACCTACAGAGTTGGGAGAGCACAAAAAACCCTTTCTCCTCCTACCACCTCTACCAAGTCTATAGTTTGTCCATAGAAGATAACACCAAACAAATCATGCTTCGAGCATCAGAGCTACAACAGTACTATAGCACCACTACAGGATTTCTTTCAACTTTGTTATTCAGTGATGTTAGATCATTTGAACCCTGTGTTCTAATCATTAGATCAATTCATCATAGTCATTAAGATTACATATAACTTCATTTCTAAAAAAATCACATTTAGTCCTAACTTAAAACAAAACAAGCAAAGCATTCTTTCTTTTTCCCTTGTGGTCAAAAATAATTTAGCATAGTGCATCAAAAATTAGAACGGTAAATAAAAAAGAATGATCAATGTCTTATTAGTATCATTTGAAGGAATGGTGGCTGCTATGCTTTGCAGGCCTAAACATGCATTTGTTTTTTCAGACAAAGCTTTCATTGAAGTAAATAGGAGTTTTTCCTGGGTCCTTCCCTTGTAAGCAGCCTATTAACAAAACTCTTACTAGCATATCTTGAGAACATCATCTGGGAAAATATAATCCAATTAATAAATTTAGTGAGCTGCATCTTAAGTTTACAGTCACTCCTCACAGCCTAGTCATTTTAGTTGCTCATCTCTGGACTGCTATTTTTACTAGATGACTTTAGATTAAATTAGGTGACAAGAACTGAACATGATATTCCAGGCCAAAGAGATCCCACTGATTTCTATAATGAGATTATAGTGTCCTCATTCTCATTCCACATGCATGTTAATAGCTCGTTTTCTTGTCTGTCCACCATTGCCCATTGAAAAGAGGTTCTCTCACAGTTGTCCACAGTGATGTTCAAGACATTTTCCATGAGTTTAATTTAAAGCTCAGCAATATGTCTAAGTAGATCAGTTCACTCTCTCAATAAGCATTTGTTATCACTGAATTTCATCATACATGCTTGTCCAACCATTTAATTATCTCCCTCCAGAATTCCATACAATCTTCCCTATTCTTGACTAACCTACATCACTTTGTCTCATCTATACGTTCTGCCACACCAGAGTTCACGCTCTTCTCCAGGTTATTAATAAATATGGGAAATAACACTGAAACCAGCACAACACTTTTCAGCAGCCCTCTGTAGCCTTCTGCCAAGAAGAAAATTGACCATTTATATCTACACTTTCTTTTCTCTCTAAGCTACTTTCTAATTCAAAATATAATTTATTTTAAATTCTGCAACAACTTAATTACCTTGCTAACCTCTTGTTAGGGACATTTTCAAATATTTTGAAAGTCAAGATAACTTACGTTAGATGGTTCTCTCTTACCCTTATGTGTCCCCATTTCCCCTCCTGACACAGCATTGGTTTTGGTGAGATAGGTTTAAAAATTAGGTGAGCCCACAACTGCACCTGATCTAAGCACTTACTAAAGTCAATGGGACAACTCTCATTGCCTTCAATGGCAATTAGACTTGTCTGATATGCCAGGGTGATTCCTGCCTCAGCAACCACATGCCTCAGAGGAAGACACATGAAGTGCAATGGTGAACAACTTGGTCATAACCTGTTTGAAGGGAACATTTCTCCCTAACTCAGGTCAGCTATGTTTTGTCTTCCACCCAAAAGCTGGGAAATATACCCCATTTCACATTCCTTCTATGTATTTATCCTCTTAATGTAGATTTATCTCTCTCTCTCCAGATAGATATCCATATACTATGAAGTATAAATATGATTTTCATTATTATCCATCTAATATGGATAATATTATCCATATAATCCATAAAATAATATAAATATATTTGAATCTTCCAAAATCTTGGCAAGCATTCCAGAGGTTGCTTATACATCATGCAATAATAATGAACTAGGCTTTCAAAATGGTTCACTTATGATGCACAACCACCCCGCTCTCAATACAAGATGGCAGCACTCTAAAAATATTTTTAAATTCCCTTTAGCCGCTAAATCAAATTCTGAAACCTATACTGGGTGAAAAGGAGGAAAAGCTAGGGCTTAAATCTGAGCCATCACTAGGCTGATGTTAAACAAAATATGCAAGGGTAGGTAAAAAGCCATACTCAAGTTCAAAGAGTCCTTGTCCTTAATATTACCCAAGTCTTTAGGGAATCTGTTTTGTGATTCAGTGGTGCTATCTTCAGCCTAATTCTGAGAGCTGCTACCTGAATCAGACAATCAGACTATTTTCAACATTATCAAAATCTAGCAGTGGCCAACTGTCCTTGACCCTTATATATGACTCTGATTGTTACAGAAATACAGTAGAATTTTCACTGCTATAATTAATTATGGTGCCATTTAAAAGATGATCCCTAGAGAAAGCCTATGATTCCAAAAATGACCCAAAGCAACTGTAACTGGAAGAACCAAATTCACTCATAATTCAATCCCATTTGAAATATCAGCAGTTTTCAGTCTGGCCACATATTCAAAAATGACAAACCCCACTGCAGAGACAAGGTCTTAATTTTTTTTGGCATGCTGGTATGTAGCATTAAGAAATGGAGATATAAAATGGTACACCGCTCTGTTGACTCTGAGGGAGTTGTACATTATATGAGCATCTAGCCTGGACCTGCTATGTACAAACACCAACTCCAAAACTGTGCATCAACAAGTCATTCTACTATTTCCCCCAATATGCCATCATACACACTCTTTTGCAGGGTCCATCAGTCTCTTCATATTTCTTACCTGTCACAATAGGATATGATTGTGGTCCTGGAACACTGGCCCCTATATCTGCTGAAGTTGGGCTTGTTATATTGGCTTTCATATCATCTAACCCACCAGCTAATGATGCCATGGCTGAGTATTCTGTTGTCTAGAAAAGAAAAAAAAGAGACACCTCAGCAACAACCATTGGATAGTCAACAGACTTTACTTGATACATGTAGTAAAATGAAATAATATTCAGGGCAAAATGAAGCCCTAAGTCTTTTGTATTGTCAAATTAACCTCATTAAAAACTCAGCACGTTTAAACTGTATTGCTAAATATGTAATTGAGACCACAAATTAAATAGGATTAATCTTTGCCACTGCTGCTTGGGTAAACACGAAAAATTGGTTTCTTGACTGAAAAGATGCCAGATTGTTATGTTTAAGCAACAGTTGCCCACTATAGACCAAGTTGGATGACTATAGCTGTTGAAAATAGACACTTCACCTAGTAATAGCTCGTGGTAATAAAATCAAAACATCATTACAACCTTATCATCTTTCGTGAGAAACACACCTGAAGAAGAGATAAAGATCAAAATGTCACCAAGTAACCATTAGTGAACACAACAGTTTCTTGCAGGTCACATTGCATGGAATGGAGTCAGCATCCAACACTTCTCTCAAACCATTTCCAGTCCCAAAGTTATTTCAAAGTAAGCAAAGATGGAACATCACCTGGGTATATTAGAGATCCACTGGTATCTCCGGGAAGATTGTGAAATACATTGTCCATGACTTGTGTAAATCAACATATCTCTAACTAAAGTTAAACTGATTAAAATGATCTTCAAGGTCAATAAAAGTATGATGATTTACACCAACTGAGGCTCCAACCCTGCATTTGGAAAGAACTCCATTTTGTGGCAGAAAGTTTATCTATATTTTCCTCCTCCCGCACTTTCTATTATCAGAGCCATTTACACAAAACTATAAACTTTGTTCTTTAGAGTTCATCTTCTCCTACTGCTATCTTCAGTCAAAGTTATAATCCCCTTTTTGTAAGATTATAATCATGTCTGTACCAATCAGAAGATTATGACTTCAAGTGAAGAATAAGCAGAAGGAACAGATAAACTTTAAAAATGTAAGGCTGTTTCCACTGCATTACTGCAGCTAGTGTCACTGCTCTGCAAACTGGAATAACACAGCGATGAATTGGGTCCTATGTTTTTCACCACTTATAGCTGTTACTACTATTTGCAAAGGAAGAGAGAAATACAGGAAATCTCTTAAGTGATTATATGATTGTGCCCATATATGACATTCTTAAACTTTTTCCAGGAGGCATCAGAATGTTTCAATGCATGTTTTGTAGCTTTGTTTGCAGTTTGACATAAATATCAGTGCGTGCTTATGTTTGTGGCTCTGAAGCACTATGGCTGGTTAAATGAACAGGGATGAGAATGATGCTGCTAATCTACTAACAGCAGGTTCCCACAGTTAAAAACAAGCCCCTCTTGAAGAATAGGTTTCAGATACAATCTATGAAAGGCACCAGTATCACCTGTCATCTTGATGGGTCTTCCATAGGAAATGCTTGCAAGAGGGTATACCAAATAGTCTTTGCCAAGGTTGTAAGTGCTGCCCATGTGAGCATGCTACCATGGCAGAGGATTGGCCATGCAACATTCTCTGAACTCAAGACTTTTCAACTAGGGGAGCAAGCTCAGACAGAGTCCAAGTCTCCTATTCCCCAGCTTGACTCAGATCTCTCATTTTCCCCAGTCTTCAAAAGCCTGCCCTTAGCCTTGACTCCAAAACTATCCCAGCTTTCACACATCTTCCTTGCACACAAATCTGCCCATCACTGCTGCTTCAACAATACATATTGTATATAACACAGCTTCAACTCCACCTCATTGCAAGCCTCATCTTCTCTAGCCTTGACTATTACCACCCTCGAGCATTCTTCAGATACTCCCAAACAATACTACAGACTTTCTTCTGGTGTTGCAAGGTTTAGTGCAGCAAGATATAGCTTCATCTGCTGGTTCCTTGCTTATTTCATGATCCTGTTAAAAATTGCTATCATTTTTAAAGAAAACCTGCATTGTCCTGCGCAATACACATGTGCTCCTCTCTTGTTTTCCTGTCTGTTCACTTCAGCCATCCAACACTGGTTCTCTCTACCCCTGCAACCCTCATCTCTGCTCTTACTGTAAGAACCCTATTTCACACAGGTCCTGCAATTTGGAACAGTACCCATGAGTTGCACCTTCTCTTTGACTCTCATTTTACAAAGCCTTCTGTATCTCTTATCCTCACACTCCCTATGCTATTTTTGCTTGTATTTATCTTTGCAGTTGTGCTATTTAACTATAAACTCTTGGGGATACCAGTTATCTGAAAAAGCATGTAAAATAGAGTGGTGTCATTGCCCTTTAAAGATTCACTGCATCTTTAAAAGTTAATTTGCAGAAATAATAGAAATAGGAGACTGTAGAAGCCATTTAATACAAGGAAAACCTGCCTTCTTGCACTGACCCTGGAACACTGTGCCTTAGCGTAGCCTGAAAACCTGTAGAAACTACACAACACATTAAAGTACATAGATCTGAACTGGTCAGCAGTGAGAAAATCTCTTCAGAACCTCCTAATGAAAAGAAGTCATAATCTTCACTGACAGCTAGCTTAAAGGCAGTCCTAACATGGCTTAATGGTTACCAGAACACCATGATAGGGATAATTAGCCTAACAGTAACCCTGTACAAGATGTTACAGTTTGAACCTGCCTGATGTAAAATGTCAGTCTGTGCTAACAGGCTAAGCCAAATTTAGACCTTGTGTAAATGGGTGCCTTTCTGCTGATCCACTTACAGGAACTCAGATTTGGCCAGCTCTCTGCAGGTGAGAAGCATCAAAGGATGCAGCTGCATGGGTGCCACTGCTACTGCCACTGCAGCATCAGCTATGAAGCTGACTCTCAGCAAAATGGAAGTTTTATGGATTCAGGAGCTGCCTGCAAGGGTTGAATATTGTTACTTCCTCCTACCTACTCTATGTCTGGACATCTTTAGAACTTCTTGTCATTTCATTTCAGAACAAGGAATATCAGTATTAGACCTCACATTTTAGCTATCACTATAATTAGGGCAAATTAAAGCCAAAATAAGACAAAAAAGGCCTTTCAGATTTGCAGAAATACTTCTAGGAATGGATTCCACTACCCTTGTGTAAGAGTTCCATACTGCTAAGCATAATTGCTTAGTATTTTGCATAAAGTCTGCTGGTTGCCTTGGAAAGCCCACACTCCTTCCCTATATTTCTGGGAAGATGCACCCACAGTGCCAATGTTAGTCTCTACAAACACAGCACAGAGCACTTACTTAGGCTTATCTCAGCAAATGAACTACAATCTTCCAAAGCAGCTGATTTAGCCTGAATCTTGCAACACTTTCTGCTGGTTGGAATAATTAAAATTATGAAGAGTTTTCAGAAAAGATTGACAGAAACATCCAGATTCTCAGCTCTACCCAAGCTGAACACAAAATGCCTGGGTAAGGAAAGGAGGCAAAGGTGGCTTTGTGTTGCTTTTGCCCCTACCATATTCTAGAGCAGTCTAGCCCACCATAAGTGAGAGCTGCCTCCAATCTGTCCCAAACTATCCATCTGGTTAGGACCTCATGGAGCTCATTCGGCCATGCCCTTTTCCAGGGAAATGCCCTTGATACATGCCAGAGTGGGAGCGGGGTAATATAGAGGCAAATATAGAGCTATATACCACATTGAGGACCCCCCTTTGGGACATCCTCTGGGGTTAGGGCTGCCAACTCTGCAGGCAGAGCAAGCACAAAAGGACTGAACTGAAACCTACAGCGACATCGCCCATACAGGTGTTCATTGATATTCCAGGGAACTCACTCAGCAAAAGGAATGGGACAAGGCCTCAGCTGTGTGAAGCACAGTTGCCTCAGTCAATAAAGCAAAGTCCTCTACACATGGTCAGTAACAAATTTGGCTGCTACTCAGTAGCCTTTTTTCACACATCTCTTCCTTAAAGCAATGTGTTTATGTGAGACAGAAAAGAATGCTAATGACTACATGTGTTTTTCCCCAGCACCAAAGCTGTTAGCAAGTCCTAGCAACACCCTAGCTCTCTTGAATTTGCCCACTATTGTGGGTTAAAGTTCCTATGTCTGTTGCTAGTGTACTCAATATGAGCATACATCACAGGCACTGGTGCTGGGCCAACACAGCAGTGATTAAATGAACAATGGCATCCTGGGCCAGATTTAGCTTGGCATGTATTACTGTCCATGCTGCTTTGATTTTCCTGCAAAAAGCAGCATGCACTGAGAGAGGAGGTGCAGTTTAACAAGCCAATTTATCATTTGAAGCCAGCATTTGCCCCTATTAGAAGCTGAGAACCTTGAGTACAGAGAGGAGAAAAGATCCTCTGTATCATAAAACCAACAAAATGTCCAGTCTTACAACCTCTTCATGGCCCTGAAAACCCCCATACATTAGGCTCTGGGCAGATAATATATTTGCTATCACACTACTATATGCCCAGCACTTCATAAACAAGTAAAGATGAAGAGGTCTCTGCCCTGTGTAGCTTCATACAGGTACAAGAATATAAACACCAAAAACAGTAGGCAAGGCTAACGACCCTGATTATTCCAAGTTGTTTCCTAAATAAATTATTAGCTTCTCAGCTGTAAAGTTGGTAGCACTGGATTTAAATTGTTCTAGACCTGCACCTGCTTCTCTCTGAGTATGATGATTGATGTGAGGCCCTATTCTCTCTTGGTCTTGCTCCAGAAGAGCACCTCATTCCCATTCCTCCCACCAGGACATCAAGAAGAGCATACCTGGGAAACTCAATGAACTGGCAACTCTTGGAATAGCCTTTCCTCTCCCCTCTTCCTTCTGCCTCCCAGATCTTGTAATTTCATCTCCAGTGAGCTTAATCAACAAGGATCATTCATAAGAAATTGCTGTAGAAACTTATTTATATTCTATAAGGGCCAGATTCTATTCCACCTTATAGTTGTATAAGTGGACTTTGGTACCTAACTGCAATTCTATTCCAGACTGTTTGAGTCCATGAAGAAATATGAATACCAAAGGTGGGTGGATCCTCCTCCTAGTTGTTGCT